CTGTGTGCCCTTGTAGCCCCGAGGGCAGGCCTCACAGTGGAAGCCGGGCATAGTGTTAATGCAGCTGGAGCCTGGGAAGCAGGGGTCAGCGTGTGCACACTGGGGGTCAGACAAGAAAACAGAGGTCAGGCCTCTCTGCCTTACATATGAGGCCTTCCCCACAGCCACTGCTCCTAGTCTCCCTTCTGTGTAGCCACAGCACTCAGCCTCCAGGGATCCCTACCCCAGCCTCCCATTGGGTCCCCTGCTCCCCCACCATGACCCTGCTTATCTCCAGTTTCCCCTGCACCCCATCCACAGCTTCCTGTTGGTTCAGCTTTTGTCCAGGGACCTTTGGTCTCTCCCCACCTACTTCCATTCTGAAATCTAACCTCTTCTAAAGGAACCTCCACTTCCCACCATATTAGGCCCTTCCTGATGTCCTCACTCCAGTTTTCTGTGCCTTTCCAGCTCTGACCCTCCTACCTCATTGATGTCAGTACAGTGGGTGCCATTGCCCTGAAGGCCAGGAGGGCAAGGGCCACAGCGGTAGCCGGGGTACTCATACACTTCCATGCAGTCCACACCTCGGAAGCAGGGGTTGGGGCTACAGTGGGATCGCTGCTCATGAAAGCCTGGTGAGCAGACATGGTCAGAGCCACCCAGAGGCCACGATTCAAATCACCACAAGGGGGAGTGGAAGCCACCTGCAGCCCTGCCCTGCTCTCCCACTCACCGCACACCTGACACTCCATGATGGTGTTTCGGATCAGAGACATTTCCTTCACCTGGCAGAAGAGTGAAGGGGTCACCTTTCAGCATCTGCCACCCCACCCCAGAGTCGGTGCCACCCTTTGCTGGCCCACCCAAACCTGGTCTCGGATATCGTCCCGCAGCTCCACCAGGATCTGGTTGAAGAGGGTGAGTTGGGTGACCAGCGTCTTGGTCTGTTCCCCTGTCAGGGGCCGGGTTGTGGAGAGGCTCAGAACTGCAGTGAGAGCCCTGGCCCCTCCCAGCCAGCTCCTATCTAACCACCTCTGTCTAACCCCTACTCCAGGCTGAAGTTTCAAGTGGCTGCCACATTCTGGGGCCTCCTCCCCACCCCACGGCTGCCTCTACCTTACCACAGCCTACTCACCTAGGATGGAGTGGAGAGCACTGGTCACTGGAGAAGAGAAGAAAACACAGGGGATAGAGATATAAAGAGGGACCCAAATGGAGAAGAGGAGGAAAAGGGGCAGGGATGTGGCGCTGAAGCCTGAGAAGAAAGCCAGTGGGAGAGGGCAGAGGTGACAGGTGAGCAGTAGCACTAGGTCAGAGAAACTGCACAGACAGTGACAACTGCCAACGAGGCAAGAAAGGGCTGGAGACCATTACCTTGGCCAACAAGAGCAAGTTTATCCCTTGGATTGTTTTCTTTTCCTGACCACTCTAGTTGGCAGGATGACTTAAATAGGGAGAGTTTGGGACCCCCAGGAATAGGTGAGCAAAAACGAATGCGTCACAATCAAGGGATGGAGGCCACTGCAGACCACAGGAAAGATCTGGTGTCTCAGATGCCAGCTAACAAATCCTTGTATTACCTGCACTGTAGATGGAGTCATCCCCCTGGAATGGACATTCACTCAGGGCTCCAACTCGGGCCATAGACCCACCCAGAATCATTTTCATAGATTCCATGAAGCCCTAAGGGGACAGTACAGCACAGTTAAGAGAACCTATCGCCTCCTCTTTCTTACTGGAGCAGTTTCTCCAGAAAAAGCAACTTCCCTTCATACCCACCTGCATCCTCAAATATGCTTTCTGTCCAGTCCTAATCTCCAGTCCCTCAACCTCTGCTGGAGGAATTGGGGCCAGTGCAGGGAGGCCAGAGTGCTGGTCACCCAGTTTGCAGTCCACATAGAGTTGCAAGGCAGGGCTGGGTCGAGATGGCCCTCGGAGTCTCAGGAGAGCGGTATGTGTGCGCCCATCAGCCAGGCCTGCTTGCTGGAGATTCACTGCATGGACTTTGCCATCCTCCCGCTGGTACCGCACCAGCACTGCCCAGGAAGGGAGGTCAGTATGAGCACTGTCCCCCAGCTCCTGCCTCCTGGGTAAGCCTTGGATTAATTCTATTTTGGATACCACATCTCCAGGCTACTATTTCTTATTAAGATAGAGATTTCAACACCTTGTGTAGAAGATGCAATAAGTACTTTTGTAAAATGGTTTAGAATTTTCTTATTCTTCACTACCATCACATTTCTCCATCCTACCCTAGGATAGCAGTTTTGTGTACACACAACTTCCAAGGGAACCTCTTTCTACCACTGCTAAAAACATCACATTTATCCACCAACCATCCTCAAGTACAACAAACATCCCTATTAATGCCAGGCTGTTTAGGTGGTTGGCTTCCCGAGGAATCTCCTATGTATTCCTAGTGAAGCCCCAGGGGAATTAGAAGGGGGTCTGGGAATGGGGACAAGAGAATGTTGCTCAAAAGGGTGACTGCTACAGGAAAGGAGATGCCCACTAGTCACCTTTGTTGATCTTGCCCACAACGGAAGCCTCCAGCCATCTTGTGTTGTCCTGGCGAGAATACAGACCAAAGAGGACACCACCCTGCTTGGGGGGCAGGCGGAAGGTGGACAAAAGATAGATGTCTCCAGCAGTAAGCAGGGCTGTCCGGATCTTCTCTGCCACAGCCACCATCTGCCGGGATTCACCCATGGTCAGCAGGTCAATCACTGTCAGGAGTTACCAAGGTCAGAGAAAGTGGTCAAATGCTAAAGGCTGCTCTCTCCCGTGAGCCCCAGCAGTGGGGCGTTCCTCAGGACATACTCCCACCATCACCAAGCAGCAAGAGTCACCTCAAGTCAACCCTTGTTGAGGAATTGGGCTACCATCCTCTGGGGACCCACAGGCAACACTTGGGAATACGTGCCCTTGCAAATTTGAGATGCTTCCACCAGGTGGCGCAAGGAAGTTGCTGTGCTGATTTTAAGCAGGAATGGCACCTGGTGCCCATAGTGCAGAAATGGGAAAGCAGCTTCTTTCCATGGCAGAATTGGGCTCTTTCCACACCCCCTGTGCCTCCTCCCATCCTTGGGTTTCAGTCTACTAGCTCAGGGTGAGAACAGTTGCCCACTGAGGCCTGGAGGCCTCCCACTGCTAGGCTCCCCCATAGAAATGTAGGACCCAGCTCTTCTGCCTCCTGTGTCCTGGCCAATCTGTGGTTTCCCTTCCAGCTAGTAAAGAATCTGTGTCTGTGTCATCTGGTCCAACTACCTCTTCCACACCCATGGGCCCATCCCACCACCAGACCTCCGGGAGAGAGCCCAGACCTCCTGGTCTTCACACCCTAATCCCTGCTTGAGCAGCTAGGAGACAAGTGACCTTAAGAAGCCCAAGCCACACTTCTAGGCGGCTTTCTCAAACCCCGGGGTACCTATAGATGTTTAAACCCCAACCCAGCCAGGCGACCCTAGCATCTATCTCCTGCGTCCTCGCCCTGGTGTCATGCCTGACCCTGGCCAGTTCCTACCCACTCACCATACTCTGATGCTCACCCCTCCCCATCAGGCCATATTTCACCAACAGTTCTCTGACTCCATTTCAAGACTCTTCCTCCTTCCCTTTGCCCTTATTTGCTACCTGAGTCAGAGGCAAATGGAGAGATGTCAGGGAGAGGGTCTACGTAGATCAAGACAGGCTTACCCTGTAGGTCCTGACTGGCAGATGCGAAAGAGCAAAGGAGGAGAAGAGCCAGGGCCCCTCGAAGTTCCTGCGTCTCCATGCCGCTCAGCCGGCTCACTACCCCTGGCAGGCGGCTGGCTGGGAGGGGAAAATGCTAGGCGGAGAGAGCCGAAGAGGGGGGAGGAGGGACAGAGGGGAGAGTTGAAGGGGGGGCCGATCGACGGGTGAGGGGGGGCTGAAACAAAGAGCTGCCAATCACCCAGGAGGCATCTCCTGCTCGAAGAACCAGGGGCACAGGGACAGCGTTCTGGAGGCCCCTCTGCCTGCTGCCCCTTCCTAGTGGCCCTCTCCCCTCGGTGCCTGCTTCCCCTGGCATCCTCTTGTTGGGGGCCTGTGCTCGCAGACTACCGAGTGCTACTGTTTTCTGGAAGCCACAGTTAGGCAGAAACCCCTGGCAGAGGCAATGCCAGACAGTGGGCATTATTCCACAGCTGGCGCGAGAGGATGCCAAGGGAGTGGCTGAGACTAGCTTGCTTAGTGCCTAGGGGATGCCCACACAGTACTAAGTTCGCCGCTTTGACAGAGCAAAGTCTACTTTTTTTGCGGTGGGTGGGCTCCCTTGACATGTGCTTGTGCCTCCATTTTCTTTTAGTCGTAGGAAAACTCAAAAGTTTGTTAAGGTCCGCTGGAGGAAATTAGTGAAAGGGTCTAGAAGCAGTGGTCTTTAAGATGTGAGTCAGTCAGTCAGGAAAGAGGAAAGGAGCATGAGTACAGGACTAGGGGCCAGGCCAGACGGGGGAACCCTGGGGGTACCGGCCGATCGGCCATGACCCGGATGAAGCCCAGGGGCGTCTCTGTTCCCGTTACCAAGGGAACAGTTTAGAGCCCCAACACCCCTCCCCCTCCCCAGGCCCCAGCCCGGCCTCCACCCCTGTTTTGTTTCCATAGCAACGGCCGGCGCGGGGCCGGCTCCAAACATAACGCGGTGTGGAAAACATGCGGCTCCGGGGACCCCCCCGCAGTCCTCGCTCCGCGGAGGGACACGAGGGACCCCAGAGCAATCCAGGCCATGTGCAGTTTTTCAAGAACCTAGAGAGTCGGCCCAGGCACCCGAGCACCCCCTCCCCTGGGTCTGTCACGCCTCCAGGGCCTCAGGGATCCCCTCGGCCGACGCACTGTGACTCCCTGAGAAGCGCCAGGCCGGGAGCCCTTCCCCCACCCGGGAGCCGCCTCTGGTCCGGCTGGCGGTCGCCCTTCCCCGAAGACTGCGGCCCCGCCCCGCGCCGGCTCGGCTCCTCCCGGATCTGCGGAAGCCGCGCCTTCCCGAGGGCCAGGGCGGCGGGAGGCGGGGCCGCTCCGAGGATGGACTTCGCGCAGCGGGAGGTGCTTCCGGGACAGAGGGCGGGCAAGATGGCGGCGCCCATGGAGCTGTACTGCTGGTCGGGGGGCTGGGGGCTGCCGTCGGTGGACTTGGACAGCCTGACCGTGCTGGTGAGGAGTGACTCTGACGCCCTCTGTTGCGACCTGGACTGCTGGGGCGGGGGTCTAAACTAGCAGAGCTTCAGAATTTTGCCGACGCTCTTCAGCATGGGATGCATCCGGGGAAACAAAGGCAGCCCAAGAGCGAACTTGGTTGACAGAACTCAACGCACTGTACCTTACCAGCCTGGGCTTTGTACAGGAATGGAGAAGCATGGCCGGGGGTTCAGGATATGGGTTGTCATCTTTGCTTTGCTACTTAGTGGCTGTGTGACCTTGGGGCAGTCCCTTCTCTCAGGATGGTGATCTGCATCCGAGGTTTCCTAGGCTGAACGATCTCAAGGATCGTATCTGTTCTCTTCAGTCCCCTTTTTATGCTCCTTGCTAAACAGCGTTTACTGAGTCTATTGTCAGACCAAAAGGTCCCACAGCCAGTTTCGGTAGAAAGAGTTTTGGACTCAAGACAAATACGTTAATTTATTCCCTTATTCATTCAGTAAGCATGTTATACTTCCTAATACCAAACATTGGCACGCAAAGATGAATAAAACTTGACCTCTAATCTCCACTTGTGTGTTATCTCCTGGGAAAGGGTAAATATGTATGCAAGTAGATGCAATAAAAATGTTCACGTGCAAATTATTGGTGGAAACAAGTCCTAGAGGAGGGATATTAGTAAAAGCTTCTGAGTATAGATGTTTAGCAGGCAAAAGGGAGCAGAAGAGTTGGAAATAAGTGTTTTTCCAGCTGATAAAGTAAGATTTGCCATCATGGACATGTTCATAAACTTTCAAAATCCTGTGTAGTACATATGTTAGCTCTCTTCATTCCCTTATGGAGTCCATGTCCCTGGTCTCTCTGCCTTCTGCTTCTTTCCCTGCAGACCTATGCCAGATTTACTGGTGCCCCACTCAAAGTGCACAAGATCACCAATCCCTGGCGGAGCCCTTCAGGTACCCTATATCCTTGAGGGATGAGGAAGGGAGTGAGCAAAGGGAGGAGCAGGAGACTTTTAAGGATATGATGCAAAAGTGTAATAGGCAGCTAAGTGTCAGTTTCTCAATATCAGGGACTCTGCCTGCCCTTCGTACAAGTCATGGAGAAGTCATCTTGATGCCACACAAAATCATCACGCATCTTCAGAAAGAGGTAGGTGGCTTGGGTGGGGGGGGTGCCAATGAGGGTAGTTAGTTTAGTACAACATTCATTTCTTGAGCATGATGTGTACTATTGCAAGCTAAATGCAAGTAACAGAGCTTTAAGGAACACTGAAGCTTTTGATAGGGAACTTATATACAGTGTCACTAAATACATCAACTGTAGACCTGAAGGATCTACAGCTCAAGGTGCTGGGGGAGGTTTGGAGGCACAATGCACTTATCTATAGGAAGGCAAGGTGGTGCAGACTGACGACATTTGGACAGGACAGGAGAGTGGTTAGCTCAGATGAGGCCCTCAAAGGTGCAGTAGGAGGAAGACCTATTAGTAACACTTCCCCCAACCCTTTTAATTTTTTAGGACTGGGTTGGGTTCAGGATGAACAAAGCTCAGAGTTAGGGTGGGGAGGTTGAAAACAGAATTCAGAAAAAAAAAAACAGAATTCAGGAGTGGGAAGGCCTAGGCTGTACTCGTTACTGTCATGACTATGTGACCTTAACGAAGTCACTTGAGCTCTCAGAGCCTTCAGTTCCTAAAGGGAATTTAGCCATTATACTTTGCAAAGCTGCTGCTGGCATTTATGGTCTGTGCTTTTTTAAAAAAGAAGCACAAGTGTTCTTCATTTCAAAGGTTTGCCGATAAATTGATGAAAGCTTGAGAAGCATGGAAAGAAAGATCTAGGTAAAAGTAAAAATTTTTGGCAAGGACTGGACTACTGTCCTGATTCATTTATGTCTAAACATTGTTTTTCCAGTTTGCAAAGTTTTCCTCTAAACTTTCCTAGCACAGTCACATTAAAGGAGGAAACTGAGGCTTAGGGAGATTTAAGAATCATGTTCAAGAGGTTGATAGGAGACAAAGCTTCTTGGGATGTGATGAGGAATGCTAAAGAACAGAGACTGAAGTCTGGGAATGTAGGGCAGGCTGGGATCTGGGGTAGGGGTGGAATGTGTATTTGTGTATGTGTGTGTGTGTGTGGGGGGGGTAGTGGCAGCACCCGGGCCATGGAATAAGATGGAAGGAAAAAGCCAAAAACAACTGGGAATTAAGGAAGCATGGACATGGATCACTGAGGGAGACGAGGATGCCATCCCCTAATTCCTCGAGCATGGATTGGTGCCCAACATGCATATGAGCTTTGTTCCGCTAGCTTTGTGGTGCCTGGATGGGGGAAGTTACTGTTAGAAAGTTGATGTCAACAGGCGTCCTGCCAGTTTTCCGTGGAAACTCTGGGAGCTGCTCCTAGTTTGTGGCTGGGCCTGCCTTCCTCCCCCCACAATGGGCGTGGGACCTTGACGGCCAACAGGCTCCAAAACCTAAACTTTCTGCCAACAGCAACAGACTACTGGCTAGCCTTAAGCAAGGGGCCTTAATGAGAAAAGCTCCTCAGTCTTCTCTCCACTCAGATCCCAGACAGGAGATAGCCCTCCCTGAAATGTCCCTGGAGTTTCCCCAGTGTCCACAAATTTTTCTTCAACAGAAATATAATGCTGATTATGACCTGTCAGCCCGACAAAGGGCAGACACACTGGCCTTTATGTCTCTTGTGGAAGAGAAGCTACTCCCAGTGCTGGTGAGTGTCCCCAGACCTCCTCCGATGCATGCCAAGGGTCAGGCACCCACAAACAGGCTCAGAACAGCATGGAGTCTCACCCCAAGCAAAGCAGATCCACTGGCTCAAGCCTCCTCCTTCCTTTCTCCCTACCCAATCCAGATACATACTTTCTGGGTAGATGCCAAGAACTATGTGGAAGTGACCCGGAAATGGTATGCAGAGGCTATGCCCTTTCCCCTCAACTTCTTTCTGCCTGGCCGTATGCAGCGGCAGTACATAGAGCGTTTGCAGCTGCTGTGTGGGGAGCATAGGCCAGAGAATGAGGAAGAGCTGGAAAAGGAGGTACCTCTGGGCTTGCTGTAGGAGGAACCCTGAGAATGTGGCCAGGATTGGGAGTGCCTCAGAGTGGGGTGACCCTGTGCCTGCAGCCCCAGGCTCATGTTGTATCTTCCCAATAGCTGTATCAGGAAGCTCGGGAGTGCCTGACACTTCTTTCTCAGCGCCTGGGTTCTCAGAAGTTCTTCTTTGGAGATGCGTGAGTCTGATCTCCAGGGGGACAGTGGGTGATCTGGGAGGAGACAGGTTTAGGCATAGCTATAGGGGCAGAAGCGGGCTCTGCTCATGAGATCCTCAAGACCAACACTGGTATGGTGACAGTAGGACTGTGTGTGAGGCCAAGCCTCCTTAGTGGAACAGGAGGGTGGGAGGGCAGCCAGGAGGGGCCCACAAGGCTGTGGGGCATTCAATGTACCCTTTATGCAGCTCTGGGATAGAGCCGCATTCAAGGCCAGGCTGGCGCCACCTGGGGAGCCCTTCCCACACCAGGTCCAGAACTGTGTGCCCTTACCTCCTCTGGTGACCCCCTGCTGCCCATGGCCCAGACTCTTCCTCCAATCCCTCTTGACCTCTCTGCCCATCCTCCTCCATTCCACACCATCTCTCTCTGCTCCAGCCCTGCCTCCTTGGACGCCTTTGTCTTTAGCCACTTGGCCCTGCTGCTCCAGGCCAAGATGCCCAGCGGGAAGCTGCAGACCCACTTTCGGGGGCTGCACAACCTCTGCACATATTGCAGCCAAATTATCAGCCTCTACTTCCCTTGGGAAGGAGGTAAGGGGCAAGTCTTGGGGAGAATGGGAGGGTATGTAGGAACCAGCCCTCTGCTCACTTTTTCTTTTCCCCTCAGCTGAGGTACCTCCACCACGCTTGACACCAGCAGGCCCAGAAACTGAGGAAGAGCCCTACCGGCGCCGGAACCAGATCCTATCTGTACTGGCAGGACTGGCAGCCATGGTGGGCTATGCTTTGCTCAGTGGCATTGTCTCCATCCAGCGGGCAACGCCTGCGCGGGCTCCAGGTGCAAGGACCCTGAGCATGGCTGAGGAAGATGAAGAGGAATAAGTTGTCCCCATCTCGTGGGATTGATTTTTTCTACTATCATGCATTCCAGAGGCCACATGCCTCCCTGATGTCAGCACAGCCAGAAAGGGGGTGACACCCCCAAAATAAACCTACTCACTGAGACTAGACATTGTCTCCTCTAAGGGGCTTCCATTTGGGCTTGCCAGTGCCTTGGGGACCATCTGAGCCTACCCACTGTGCTGTGTCCTGAGCTCCTGTGCCCTGATGCCCCCTCTGCACAGGTGTCTCTGTATCCAGGAAAGACAATTAGGCCCAGTTCTGGATCTAGCCTTTTTCTGTCTTTTAATCTTCGTCTGTTTCTTCAGCGTATGTACAATGAGCTCACCTTGGGCCTGCGCCCAGTTTCCACAAACAACCAGCGCCTAGCACACACTCACACAAGAACAGGGGGCTGGGGGCCACTGAGGCATTCTGATCTTTCTCTAAGGACCTCTAGCCCCTGGCAGCAGCTTAAGGTGAAAATGAGTCACTCAAACCACTGTGGGCTTACATCACTGTAAGTTCTCCTCGACACTGCTGTGCCCTCCTTAGTCACAGATAGCATGTGAACTGACTCTGTCCTTTTAATGCCCATACTGAACCCAGATGCCTGCTTAGGTGTCTGCTCCATCACTGGCGACGCCACAGGTAGGTGTGGATGGAATAGCCAGGTGCCATTGTTTCCAGGAAGCCCATGGCAGGATCCTTGATGGTGAGAGGCACATCCTTAGAGGAGCTGTGGGGAAGGGGAGGAGAGGCAGTGGGTATGATTGTGCCGAGGCCCGACATCCCACTGCAGTCAGTTCTGGGGCTGCTCAGGCAGCTTCACTCCAACCCCCAGGCCCTGCTGCTGTGCTCACCGGTTTAGCACGACCACAACCGCAGAGCCGTCTGGACGTATCAGTGCCACTGTCTCCAAGTTGGTCTTCTCGCTGGCAACCAGGCCCACTCTCTGGGAACCCTCAGGAATGAATTTGCTGGATATGGGGACAGGCATCATCAGGGACCCTGACCAGCCCCCATCACACCCCTCCTACCTCATGCAACAGCTCTGCCCTAAATCTCTAGGCCCTGGGCCACGCAGCTAAGCACTGGCCCTGCCTTCATGCAGCTCAACCATTCACAGATCATTCATGTCTCTGATACCACCCAGTCACTTCCTGACTAGATGTTGCAACAGGGAAGAGGTGGGTACCTTCCAGGGTTTCCACCCTGAACACCTTCCTGCACCTTCTGAGATGATGTAAGCCTGATACAGGGATGATGGGCCAGCCTGGTATGGAATAGAGGTGCCTGCCCTTCACTCACCTGAAGTGACCAAGGTGGTAGAACATGGGCTGTTTGTAAAACGTGTCTTTGGTTATGTCCACAATGATAGGGCTGTCGACAAAGTTGCGCACCCAGTTGGGTCCCCCTTCGAGGTTCAGGGCAATATTCCAGTCAGTCCAGCCAACAACGTGGTAGAGAAGGTTCTAGCATAAGAACAGCGTGGAGAGAAATGGGATCTTCAGGGAATGTAGTTAAGGGTTGCAGGAGGGAGATAGGCATTATGGGTGGCTCAGCCCTGTGAGGGTGATGCTGATGAAGGGCAAATGGAATGTGGGGAAGGAGACATTTCAAAAGATGCTGAGAAATCTGAAGCAGATGCAACTTCCTAAGATCAAAGTACAGGAAAAAAGGAATGTGGAACATGTAGGTCTGTGTAGGGAATATGGCATCCTAAAATTTGCCTCAAAGAGCAAGCTGTGGAAAAGATGAAGAGAAAAGCCTGTGTATCAGCCTTTGGGGAGATGAGAAAGGGATCTAAGAGTGGAGTGGGGGAATAGGTGAGAATTTGAGGAGTGATAAGAGGCACTGATCAATTGTAATAATATTACAGGGCATAATGACTGAATAAGAACCAATTTTTTTTAAAAAAAGGGTCCACGGTGGTCTGGGGTGTGGAAAGGGACGTTGAGACAGCTCACCGTGATGATGCTGTGGCTGTACTGCATTCCTCGGTCCCAGGATCCTAGCCGGACACTCTGTTCCCAAAACTTGGAGCCCACACAGGCTTCTGAGGAGAACAGCATCATGTCGGGGAAAAGGCGGTGTGTCTCTCCCAAGGTGGCTTTTGCTGGAGCCAGATAGTCTAGATACCAGTGCACAGCAATGCCGTGCACATATTTCGCGGCTTCTGGGTTTTCCAGCACCTGCACCAAGAAGGAAAAGCCTACTGAGGAAGTAGAGTCATTGAACTTGGGTCCTACATGGAAGGTTTGGAAAGAAAACCTAGGGAGCCTGGCAGATGGGTAATAGATACAACTAAAATGACAACCATAGGGGTAACCCTGAACATGTAGAGAGGGGCAGTGCCCTGGACACCTGGGCACAGTTGAAGGTGCTCTAGGAATCATGAGTTGGCAGAGACGGCACTCCCACTCTGGGCAGCCAGTCATTTGGATTGGTGTCACAGAGGAATCCATGGAGGAACTGGATCTTACCACCTGAGCCCAGTGGGGCAGCAGCAGGCGTTGGTCATCTAGCATGAGCAGACGGACGTCACTGTGAGAGCTGTTGGCAAGGGCGGGGCCCAGGTCATACGCAATGAAGTCTCGCTGATGTTGAGGAGTGAAGCCCAGGCACTGGAAGGGGTAGCCAGCGAACAGTCCTGCAGAAGGCTCATTCTCAGCTGTCACAGCCCAGAACCGTATATTATACGTAGCATAGGCATCCAGAAACCTGGTAGTGGGAAAGAACATGAGCAAGCCCAGCTACAGAAGGGGATCAAGACCCTGGGGAATGGGAGGCCAAGAGGGTTGGGGGAAACCAAGGAATCCAAAACTAAGGGTTCTGAATATGAAAGGCTTAGGGAATTGAAAGGTGAGCTGAGCAAAGTCAGATCTGGAGGTGGAACTCCGGTCCAGGGTATCCAAGAGGAAGGAGGGCTGGTCCAGAACTCATGGCCTTGCCATTCTTACTTGACAAAGTATTTGGCCCAGGTCTGATGGTAAATATCCCCTGGATGACCCTTGAGTGATCCCTTCCCATTCACTGCCCCATTGGTCTTGAGCCAAGTGGGTGATGTCCAGGGACTGGCAAAGAGTGAGATGGGGCGTTGGGTCAATTCCAGGGCTCGGTGAATCAGGGGTATCTAGAAACAAAGTGAGTGAATTAAGAGACACCCAGGGTTGGAACACAGGCAGACTGGCCCAACCAGTGCGTCAGGCCCAGCCATCAGTCCCCGCCCTCCCACCCCCAGGATAAAGCAGGAGGGGTAAAGTTCTACATCTATTCAGTGCTTAGCCTGAAGCTTCTCAACCCCTGGGTATCAATCCACTAAGGTCTATAGCAGCCAAAGTGCCTACCTTGAGCTTGACATCTTCATCTAAGAGACTAAAGTTATCCAACTGGAAATCATCAACAACGTCATCATAAGTACTGGTGTGGATAGAAAAGTCACAACTGCCCATTGGTACTCGGATGATGTTGTATTCGATTCCTGCAGAAAAAAATTTTACAAAGACCGAAATATGGGTACCTGGTTAACAATTTGGTACTGGAGAAAAAAAATACAGCAGTTGCCCCCAGGGCAAGTCACTCCCTGGGAAACCTGATGGTTTCAAGGGCAGCCAGGACAAAGACCAGACCAAACGATAATCATGAAAAGGCTCTGTCTGGGCCTGATCAGGAATCCCCAAGCAGAGTTAATTAACAGCCCCAGATTCCAAGAGGTACCATCTTCCCTAGCCCTCCCCAAGACCTCTATAAAAATAGACTACTCGGGGAGCTCTGGTGGCCTAGTAGCAAGGAGCTGCAACTACAATCCCAGAGGCGCACGGTTCGAATCCACCAGATGCTCTGCAGGGGAAGGAGGGGCAATCTCCTCCTGTACCAATCAGATCTGATTTGATGGTACGCGCGCGCGCGCGCACACACACACACACACACACACACACACACACACATAATAAAATAAAATTTAAAAAAAAAAAGAGACTACTCCTAATTGCGGGCATGCCATTTTTACTTTCTCTGCTCCTGATCATTTGGCATCCCTCTCAGACCATGCAATACAGGCCTGTTCATTTCTTGGGACCACTTTCTTTCTTTTTCACCCTCCATTCCTTTTCTTTCTTTTTTGTTTTTACTCCTTTTCTAAGAGATACTAAATATCGAGTCACTCAATGAAGGTCTTTGAACCTGAGAATCCTTAAGCACTTAACATAGGACTTGTAGGGAGTAGTGGGAAATAAGTCAGGGACAAGTGGAAATCAGAACAAAAGGAAAGGTCAAAGAACAGTATCTTGCCCCCTCCTCCTCACCTTCTTCAGAGAAGTAGGATCTGAGTAGCAGATTCTGTGCAGCAGGTGACAGGGCAAGGATGTTAAGAGCAGCAGCATCTGTGATGGCCCCTCCAAATCCCTTAATTTTCTGGAACTTCTGTTCTGGCTCCAAAGTCAATAGGAGCCCTGAGAACATACACAGGGAGTAAAAGGTAAGAAACTGCACTGTGATCGCAGGAAGAGCTCAGCCTAGCTCAGGGCTGAGGAGTGCAGAGGCTACCTTTGCCTGTGCGGCTGGTCTGGATGGTCCCCATACTCATCTCCATTCGACGTCCACTACGTGTGCTCTCATAGAGGCTGAAGGTACCAGAGGCAGGAAGTGCCAGGGGGTCAAGAGAATCACAGTAGGTGGCATTGCAGACGCAGACCACTGAGCTGTAGCCAAAGCTTTTAGGGATGCAGGGGCGAGCACCTGGGATGGAAGAAGCATGACAGAGGCAAGGATGGGAGGATGAGGACAAGAAGATGGATATAGTGCTTGGCAAGAGAGACTGAACACAGATTTCAAAAAATCTTCTCACTGTTCTCCCACCCCAGGGTTAGTCTCTATCATTCAACAGGATTTGTTGAGTACATGTTGTAATCCATTACCAATATACTAAAATATTTCTAAAACACTACAAGACAAAAGGAACCCCAAGTATTACCTCTTTCCTTGATTAATTTACCTGATGCCCATGTTACTGCCTGAAGTAGAAACAATCCTGTGAGGCTGACAGCAACAATGTTTATCCTGCCCAGATGCTTGGGACATTTCTGAGGATAGAATGTGGAGTGTTTGAAGGCAAGACCTTCTCTCACCCCCAACTACTTTCTTGGGCAGGGCATGTCTGACTGGAGATACAGACTATTTCCCCACTTTTATCAGAGATGAGATAAGGTCCACAGGCACCAGCGTGCAGCCCTCCCCCCAATCCCTGCCTCATCTCTGTTGATGATTGCTCTCTGCCCACCCGAACTAGGACCTTCCTCCACTTTCTCTTCCCATCCATTTCTCCCCCACCTCTCCATCCCTCTATCTTCTCCTAGCTCAGAAGGACGTGATGATCTTAGTTTGAAAAAAGTCTGCCCTCATTCATTTCATTCCAGAGCCTGGGTGGCTAGGATTCAAGAAACAAAGTAATAAGTCACTGGGGCCCCGGGTCCACTCACCTCTTTGAAAGGATCTGAAAGCACCATCTCTTCAGGCACTGTGTAGGAAGACTACAGAGGCTTCAGAGCCTCGGAGGGATAAAGGATCCACTAAACAAAACAGGGATGTTTACCCGAGGTAACCATAAGCAATAAGGTTAGCCTTGCAGGCTAATTCCGACATCAAGGAGTGGGTAGGTCATGTGATAACTACGGGAGAGTCACATGATAAGGAAGCCATATTTGTAAAGGGCAATTGACTTCCTTCTGGTTGATGGCGATTTCAGCTTGCCGTCAGTCGATTCCGATTCATGGAAATTCTATGCGTGTCAGAGTATTAATGTGAGTTGTCATAAAGAATTAATACAGAGGGGTTCTAATGGCTGGTTTTACTGAAGTCGATTGCCAAAGCTTTCTTCCCAGCTGCCTCTGGATAGGCTGTGACTCTAGCCTTTTGGTTTGCAACGAGCACGTTACCACCTGGGGATTCTGAGGGGGATTCTGATGGTGATGATGCACCCTGTGAGCGTGTGTGGATGGCAACTTAGATGGAGACCTCCTCATTCCGGAAGATGGAGAACGCAGCAGGCAATTGGCTACTGCTACTCTTTTTTTTCCCTCTTTTATTTATTTATTTAAAAACTTACTGTATTGTGGTTTGAGTGAAAGTTTACAAATCCTATTGGGGTTTTTTTTTCACTCAATCCTTCATACATGTTTTGTTTCAAAACATTAATTACAATTAACTAACATCATTAATTACGATTTCTGGACAACCCTTTCTTTTTTAAAAAAAATTTTTTTTATGAGGAGAAATGGTGAAAAGTGAGGCCGTGAGGAAAGGAAGAAAATAAAAAGGGACGAGAAAATAAGAAAAGGCAAGACAGAGGCACTCATGGGGAGGGCTAGGGAGTGAGGGGAAGAGAGAAAAAAACAACCCCTTTTTATATTTTGTCTTTCTGTTCACCACACTGGCTTCTTGGGAGAAAAATGTAAAGGGTGATACTAAAGAATTCACTGAGGCCACAGGCAGCTTTGCCCTGTATCTACATAGGGTGTGCTGTGGATATAAGAACAGACAAAGCCCAGAGAAGCAAGCAAAGATGGGGAGAAGCTTGTGAGAGGAATCAGATATTTGAACAGATAATTGCAGATAAGGACAAAATGGTAACAGGTGTTCATGGAGGACCATCAATAAAGAGGGGCCCTTAGCTGGTGGGGAGTTACCTGAAAGGTTTCAGGAATGATGTCCCAGAATTGTGTGAGAAATCATTTACCAACGAAGTACAAGAACCGGACCTTGACTGGGATGAGTGTCTTAGTTACCTAGTGCTGCTGTAACTTCAAATGGATGGTCTTAACAAACAAAAACTTACTTTCTTACTTTCTTAAGAGGCTAGAAGTCTACATTTAGAGGTCTGGCTCTAGGAGACCACATTCTCTCACCACAGACTCTGGGGGAAGGTCTGTGTCTCTTTTCACCTGCTACTCCTTGATTTCCTTGGATTGTCTTGTATCTGTTCTCCTCATCTTTGCTTGCTTCTCAGGGCTTTATCTGTTCTTATATCCACAGCACACCCTATGTAGATACTACCTCACTAACACAAAGAAAATCCATTCCCAAATACAGTTTTTTTAAGTAATGACTAGGGGTGATAGAAGGAGATTTGAGGCCTTTGAGCTTTGGTGCTGGAGAAGAGTATTGAATATACCATGGACTGCTAGGAGAACAAAGAAGTTCATCCTGGAGAGGGTGAAGCCAGGCTTCTCCTTGGAGGCAAGGATTCTGAAGCTTCATCTGACATACTTTGGACATGTTGCAAGGAGAGATCATTCCTTGGAGAGAGATGTCATGCTTGGGAGGGTGGAGGGACAGCGCAGGAGAGAAAGACCCTTGATGAGATGGATTGATTCAGTCACTGGGTTAATGGGGGTAGGTGTGTCGGAGACAATAAGATTGACACAGGATAGAGCAGGGTTTAGGGCTTTGTACATAGGATCGCTATGAGTCGCAGGCGACTTGACGGCACATAACAACAATATTGTTATCCGATGACATGTCAGAACCAACTAATATCTGACACTCCAGTGAGTGAATGAATCTTCAGATTTGTAAATCACATGAGAGGTGATTTGTCATCTTTATCCTGTGGAGCAGCTGGTGGATTCAAACCTCCTGCTTTTGGGTTGGCAGCATAACTCCTCAACACTAAGCTAACAGAAACACGTATTTGGGGAAAGAAGGCCAAAATTTCAGTCCATAATGGGTAGCAATACTGAAGGTAGGGAGTTGTTGATATTCCCTCTCTCTATCTCCCTTGTTTAATTATCACATGCAATTTGTGATTACTATTTTTTTTCTCACAGGACAGGGAAGTTGTGTATAGTAGTTCAGAAACTGGAAAGTATTATACAAAGTTATAGCCACAGTGGTTGTGAGAAGGGGGTTGTCTATAATGTTGCCTCACAGACCACATCAAACCTGGTTCAGTGGGAGTGACACATAGTTATTTCCTAACGAACTGAACCTGCTTCCTCACTTGTAAAATGGAAAATGCTACAGCTTCTCATAGTCATGACTGGAATCGGTATGATAAGCACAGTGCCTTGTTCATAATAGGAACCATGAAACTATTCATTTGTAGCTCCATGTGTATCTTTGAAATAATTTAGGTGCCATATTTCAGACACTCCAGACAAATTTGTTCCTTTCATATTCACGGTTCCTACAGTACTTAAGTACTGGCTCAAGAAGGAAAACAGCTTGGTGTCCAGTGGAGCAGGTCTACTGTGCTCACATGGGGTTCCCATGCATTGGTATCAACTCTGACAATAGCTACAACAACAACAGTACATTGTTTAGCACCAACTATTGCGACAAATTAGACCTATGTTTATAGAATCAACTCAGAGTTCCTTGAGGTTATGTCTTACTGTAGGCAGCAGCCTCTCATCTTTATAGAGGCCCTGACACAAGAGTGGGTAGGTGCTAAACTGGTGAACTGAACTGAACTTCTATCATCAGTCATTATGTCAGTATCCATATCATCCATGCTTCCTGTTTTTCCAGGGAATATTGCTCAAGAATTGTTCTCTAGGAGAGGAAGGTGATATCCAGCACCTTGTTGTTGTTGTTGTTGTTATGTGTCATTGAGTCACCTGAGACTCAGTACCTCTATGCATGCTAGCTCTGAATCCTGCCCTATTCCGAGCCAATCACGTCATCTCTGACAGACCCAATCACATTTCTCCAGTCACTAAGTCAATCCATCTCATCATGGGTCTTCCTCTCCTGTGCTGTCCCTCCACCCTTCCAAGCATGATGTCCATCTTCAAGGACTGGTCCCACCTGGCCATGTGCCCAAAGTATGTGAGATGGAGCCCCAAAATCCTTGCCTCCAGGAAGTAGCCTGATTCAGTCTCTCCAGTACAGACCTGTTTATTCTCTTGACAGTCCAGTGTGTTCAACACTCTTCTTCCACACCACAACTCAGAAGCATTGATTCTTTTTCTGTCATCCTTAGTTATTGTCCTGCTCTCAGATGCATAGCAAGAAATTGTGAAGACAGTGGTCTGGATCAGGTGCACCTTAGTCTCTAGACTGACATCATTGCTCTTCAATACTCTAGAGAGGTCCCTGACAGCAGACATTCCCAGTGCAATTAATCAAGAGTGTTGATTGTAGAACCAAGTAAGCTGAATTTATCAACAACCTCAATTTCTTCTCCATCCATCATGAAGCTGCTGATTGGTCCAGTGGTAAGAATCTTTGTTTTCTTGATATTGAGCTTCAACTAATAATGCAGACTACAGTCCTTGACCTTCTGCAACAAACCCCTTCAGTTTCAACAAGCAAGGTTATGTCATCTGCATAACTCAGGTTGTTGATAAGTCTTCTTCCAATCCTGATGTCACATTCCTCCTCATAAAGTCCAGCTCCCCCGAATTATCTGTTCTGCATATAGATTGAAAAGGAATGGAGATGAGATGCATCCTTGACGCACACCTTTCCTGATCCTGAGCCAAGCAGTGTTCCCTTGCTCTGTTCTAACTACTGCTTCCTGGTCTAAGTACAGGTTTCACATGAACACAATTAAGTGTTCTGAGATTTGATTCTTTTCAATGTTAGCCACAATTTGTTGTAATCCACACAGTCAAATGCCTTTGCATAGTCAATGAAACACAGATATACATTCCTCTGGTGCTCTCTTCTTTCATCCAAAATCCATCTGACATTGGCTAAGATGTCCCTAGTGCCGTGGCCTCTTCTACACCCAGGCTACACATGGGGTAGTTCTCTGCTGATGTGCTGTTGCAATCGTTTCTGGATAATCTCCAGCAGGATCTTGCTTGTGTGTGATACTAGTGATATTGTTCTATAATTTCCAAACTGTTGGGTCACCCTTTTTTTGAATCAGAAACAATAAAGATCTCTTCCCTCTGTATCATTCACACTACAAGAATTTTTTTTAAACATAGAAAATGCTTAATTTTTTTCCCCATTGTTTCACATTTTCTTCCCTTCTCCCCTCCTCCCTTCCCCAGCCTTCCTCACAATTCACCCTTTGTTCCAGATTGTTGTCATACATATAGAGCCTTATCATATATCTCTTTCAGACAGTTCTTCCCCTCATTTGATCTAAAGTTCATTATCTGTCCACTCTTTTCCCATTCTCTTCCCAACCCTCTCATGTCTATCTTATTCTATAATAGTGCTATTATGCAGTATTTGTCCTTTTGTGACTGAAATATTTCTCAACATACTGTCCTCCTGGCTTCCCCATGTTGTGTAATGTATGGAGTTTGAGGTGGTTTTTCCCCCCCGCTCCTTGTTGTATACCATCTAATCAGATCCAACTGGTACAGGAGACAATTGCCCTTCTTCTTCAGTGGAGCATCTGGTGAATTCGAACTACAAGCCTTCAGGATTGCCACTAGGCCACCAGAGCTCCTTGTGTATGGGGGTTTTAAGTGAGAATTTTTTATCTGAGGTATGCTTGTTCTTTTCTTATTCCATTATAATAGCATGTCCATATGCAGCAAACTTT